TGAAGGAGGTGGCATCGTGATTTAGATTGGCAATCTAATCTCCGCAAGTGCATTAGAAGTGGTTTCGGATGAAAATGAAAGCAAAATAATGGGAACATCCCATTCCACTAGTACATAGAGGTCAAGAATACCAAAGATGAACTGTAGCTCCGACCCTACCGTACGGTAGGATACCGGTTGCTGTCGTCAAAAGAGGTAACAGTAGCGGCACTGGTACGTACGCGGTACCAGTTACTTCCCGTCTGTAAGGCACAGTACAGTATCGTACTTTAAAAAGGTGCGATATCCTCAAAATCTAAAATAAAATTTTGACCCGAAACTCGAAAAACGAAAATGTTAATGGTTGTGGTGTGATTTGTGGGTTACTTCTACGAATTTTATCCCCAGCCCTAATTGGTTGGCTAAAACAGGCACTTACTCCAGCAGTGCAAAAACTGAGTTTAGGTGGAAAAATTGAAAATAATTTAAAAGTGAATGAGCAAAACAACTGTGGCTGTTTGTTGTTTCTAAAACAGGAATTGCAATGGAACTCATTTATCTGCTGTCTGGTATGCTGCTGAACATGCAATGTTGGCAGAGTTCTTGTTTTTGGTGAAGAGGAGCACCACCAGGGGGAGAGCAACAAAGACAGGTGTTCTTGGTGTTGTTCTGCTTCATAAACAGACCAGCACTGTCCACTGCTGGTGGAAGTTCTACCAGCTAACTGTTGGAGAAAGGTATCAATCCAATGATTGCTTCTTCTTGTGCAAAACCAGGATGAAACCAAGATGTTTTCAAATTATCTTCCCTACTAGTAGTATTATTTGTTGTGAACAGTTGTTCTTGTGTTAGCATGATGCATCATGACTATGATTAATTGAGAATTGAGGAGATACTACTGTGTCCTATACTATTACTAGTTCTACTAGTTTTCCACCATTGTTTGATGTGTAATTTTTTATTCATGTTCCTGAGTGGACAAGCAATGTCCTCAAGGTTATAGATAGCAAGCCTTTCATTAGTATTGCTAACTGATGCCTTGACAATAGGGATGCCCTTGTCATAAAGTTTTGGAATGTCCAACTCCACACTGGTACTACAATGCTCAAACAATGGCCAGCTCCACACTGGTACTACAATGCTCAAACAATGGCCAACTCCACACTGGTACTACAATGTTCAAACAATGGCCAACTCCACACTGGTACTACAATGCTCAAACAATGGCCAGCTCCACACTGGTACTACAATGCTCAAACAATGGAAGTATCAATTT